GAATTATGCGACCGACTTTACCAATTATTTACAGATTAGATCGTCCATTAAATGTACAAAAATTCTTTAAATATGTACAATTTTTTTGGTTTCAGATGATTCTGAAATATTAAACTTTCGAAACTTCTTGTATTTAGCCGATAATGTGAACCTATGTTTTGATTTTAATAATGAGAAAAATATAGCTCTCATACTCTATTTTCAAATTCCGATGATTTAAAATTTGTTAACACAAAAATTTGTGAGAACTCTTGTCTTAAACAAAAAATGAATTACAGGTCACGAGTATAACTGCGCGCATTGGGTCCAATAGAGATTGGCAAATGGACGAACAATTAATATTTAAACGCATTGACACGTTCACAGAAAGATGTTACGATGTCATTGAAATATGCAACGCTTTAATCGTGTTTGGAAGGTAGGATATAAAAAATAGAATATTACATACATAATACTAGTGAATCATAAATATCTTAGATCAAAAATTTCCACTATTTTAATTTAGCTATGATATAGAAAGTTTAAAAAAGAATATAATATCAGAATTCTTGTTATAAATCACTTCTTAATACATCAAACCGAATATTTCATATTTCATAAGAAAAAGAGTATGTATATTAAAAACGGAAAAAAAATATTTTTATATCACAGATCTCTTATATTTTTTTATTTTGCGTTTGCTTTCGATAAAGAATATGATTAGAGAATATAATTACTTTAATATACATGAACATCATAATAAATGTCAATATATATCAGGTCTACCGGAAAGTTCTGTCCGTTTTTGGAATAAAACAAAATACAAATTTTTATTACCGTCAATAAACTTTATTAAATAATGTAATTGCCATTATTCGGAGAAGTATTGTCAGCAACTGGATAATTTAAATACAGCAGTCCAAGAAAAGAGGCCGCCGATGTTCAATAGGAAGAACATCATACCGCATCATGATAATGCCAGGCCACATGCTGCTTTGGATACTCGTCAAAAAATTGCAGAACTAGGCTGGAAAATTCTGTCGCATCCACCATATTCCCCGGACTTAGCACCCTCCGACTATCACTTGTTTTTGTCCTTACAAAATTTTTTGAGGGGCAAAAAATTCAAAAATGAAGAAGATATCAAACAAGCACTGGTTCAATTTTTCGCATCAAAAGATAAAACATTTTTCGAAAAAGGGATATACAAATTGCCCTCACGCTGGCAAGAAATCATTAATAATAATGGCAATTACATTATTTAATAAAGTTTATTGACGGTAATAAAAATTTGTATTTTGTTTTATTCCAAAAACGGACAGAACTTTCCGGTAGACCTAATATAATATCGGTAAATATGATATATTGTTGGGAACAGAAAAGGTCGCGGGAAAATCAATACGAATTTTACCACATTGTCAATTCGTTATGCTTTAATTATTCCGCGACGCGCAATCGCTATCGGACAAAAAAAAACATTCGGACGGGAAACGTGATAATTTATAGCGAGCGTAAACGCAAAACGTAACGAGACTTTTATTATTGAAACCTAGGGTTACACAATTCTCCATCCCACTCGTTGCCGGTGAAAAAACTCCACCGCGTCTCTGACTTTAAGCCGATGTATATACATATAATTAAATATATGATTACCTTGTGGTAGTTGGGTTGCCAATGGAGATGATATATTCATGAAATTGAACTCTTTGGAACCATAATGCACTGGCATTTGCCTGCCTTTGCCCTCATCCGCGCAGTTGCCGTAACATTGATTCATAAATGGATATCCACGGTGCAACAAGACACCTGTTACATTATATGCAATAACTTGAATGTGTATATATAACAAGTGGATAACACATAGTGCAAGTTCTTACCAGCTTCACGGTATTGTGCGTAAATCATATCTTCTAGAGTCAAAGCAGCAGCAGAACCAATCTGCACAGCCTCTTCACCAGTGTTTGTCATATTATATGAGATGCGATCTTGTCTTTGCGACTCGTATAGGATCTTATCCATCATGCTTATGATCATCATATTGCAGTACATTTTCATCAGATTTGTCTCGTTTAACTATAAGAATATAATATCCAGTTTTATATTTCGACACAATATATCTATATTAATCTCAAATTATGTTCGTATGCGTGGTCACTATATATACTTGCTAAACTTAATATTAGATCTAGTGATTCTATAATACACATTTCACATTTTTTTAAAAACAATATATATTACAAAATAATACAGGGTGTAACTAAACAAACGCATATGGTCAACACTATCAAATATAGAACAACAATTCAAATAAAAAAGTTCTGAACCATTTTTTGATCTGAGCTTTCTTTTCGTTGTTATGTGATGTTAAAGTTAGCTAATCAGCGCCTGTCTATACACCAGAAAGCCGTCTCGCTACTCCGACCCTCGTCGTACCTTCTCTGTTTTCTGTTGTAGACAGGCGCTGATTATTTAACTTTAACATCATATAACAACGAAAAGAAAGCTCAGATCAAAAAATGGTTCAGGACTTTTCGATTTGAATTGATGTTCTGTATCTGATAGTATTGTCCACATATGCGTTTGTTTAATTACACCCAGTATATGTATAAATATGAAATAAAGCAACATATTCAGCATTAATTGTGCATCTATATATCTGTAAATTTATAATATATTTTTAATTTATATCTATAATGTATATCATTAATTTATATCTTTGATGATCAAACCTTTTCATCTTTGGGTAATTCAGCCTTCTGTGTAGGTTCCAAAATCCTGTATATTGGAATAGATTCATAACTTTTTTTATTGACAAACTGAATATTATTGGTAAAAGTATTGTTGATTCCTAGAAATTGCGGTTCATTTGTCGTAGTGCTATATTGTTTTACCTAAATTAATCATAGAATTTCAATAAAGAAAAACGAATTAGATGTTTATTATAATATTTTAAAAGATTAGAGAGATATTTATTCATATACAACTTTATGTTATTTATACTAAATCATTAAAAAATATAGATATGTAATTAAATTACTAAAACGAATTAAAAGAACATAAATTTTTACTCGCTCTCAAATACTATTTTAGAGTAATAAAAAAATAATATGATCAAAATATTATAGAATGGGCACAATATTTGATATAGAATATCCGTTATAAGCATATATATTATGTGTTAATTACACTTTAATACAAATTTGTTATTACAATAACGAATAAATAAGAGATTTTCTTTATTTATGTTATATATGATACCTGCAATATAGCGTATTGAAAGCGCGAAATTCCCCGGAATAAATTCTTTGCAATCATTTCGTGTCACACATTTGATCTTTGATCTCCTCTGTAACTATTTGATGTGTACATTTAGGCCGATAAGGTACTGATAACGCACTGTAACGCACATGCACACGCGCGACATCATGGGAGAAAGCATTAATCATAAACACGTGTATTAACATTAAGTATAAATGCGACAAGAGACAAGAGAATTAAATCTAATTTGTGAGAGAAATTGAGAATTTTTGATAACAAATGGATGCAATTACGATGCATCTCTACGAGATGCTTGGTGTGGAGCATCAAAAGCTACACTTGCAGAGGTAATTTGCATTTATTTAAAAATATTTATATAAATGTTTTATAGATTTATAGAGTGAAATAAAATCATCGACATATAGAATGGACTGCTCGTTACAGGCACAGAGAGAGAGAAAAGAAGGGGAGACAAGTGCGACCGTTGCGATGGTCATCGATCGATTCAGAAATCGATTCACAAATATTTATCTATCGATAATTAGATTGACCGCTAAATCTCATGACTGAGAAAACGCAACACTAATATAGTAATTTTATAAAATGGTTATATGCATGCGTTTAAGAAGAACGGTTTCCTTTGAATACTAGTTTTAAAAGAGGCTGCTGTAATTAGTGATGCATACAATTCACATGCAAATTATCTTGTTCACTATGGGGCTGGGTCCCCTTTTCGCTATATTTACCTCCGTTCCTTTCACGTCATATTTCCACACGTATTTTTCACACTTTTTTGCTTTCTTCCTTTATAACTGCTTAACACGTATCAAGAAAACATATTTTTGCAATATTGTATTCTTCAAAACAAAATAATTATTTTATAAATTTATACAATTTTATTTAAGAGAAGACTCTTATTTTTCTGTAATTAACTATGAAGTTTTTCATCATTTTGATGTATGTTTTTTTTAATATACTAGAATATATATTGACAGACATAATGACACTAAAAAATTTAATTTTATAACGAAATGAAATAAAATGTATTTAAAATTCGTACACAGCAGAAAACAAAATAAAATACCTCAAATTTTTGCGGACTTCGCATTTGATTGCTCCGAAATTTTGCTTGTGATACTATTTGATTGTATCGCATAATATTCGTTCGCAAAGTTACTGTGCTATTTGCGTGAAGCGTCGTGAAATTTTGTTTGCAGAACTATTAATAAACGAATGTCGTAAACGCGACGCGGACCACGATCTCTCCCGAAATCTCGGTATAGGTTTCACTTGTTTAATCACTTGTCGTTAGTCTTCTCGTCTCGTTGCACTTTTTGTCATCGTGGCACTTTCACCACTACGAGCTGCATATCTGTTTGCATAAGCACGCGAGAACAATTATATCTCGTGTCACTTCCGCGACATCGGTGACAAGAGAGAATTGTCGAGGAATATGTTTCTATCGATGCACTTTTTGCGAAATGCAAGTAGCACGCCAATCACTGATTCGTATCAGTTAATTCAATTCACAGATTTTTAATTCTATATTTTTATTCAGAGAGCTAACATGGACTAGTTAATTCTATCAATATCAGTTATTGGTTTCTCAACTTCCAAGAAAGTTCCGCAGTGCACTTATACAAATTAATAATTTCGGAAGGAAATTGTTCATTTATTTATTTTTTTTGTGAATCTTTTTTTCTCCCTTAATGAAAGAGGAAATAGAGTCTTAATGATCCAAGTACGAAGATGGTTTTAAGCAAGACGAATTTTAATACAATTCGGATATTATATCTGTGCAATGGTCATTTTATTAATACGTTTATTTCTTCGTTGATGATCTCTTTATCTTCTGTAAATTGAAGAAAAAGGTAGAAATCTATTGTACTCGAATGATTATACTCATTTTTTTTATCGTCTCGGATAAAATCAGGTTTTCTTTTTTAAGAAATTCTGACTTGATTATCTTTTCTGATTTATCTTTGTAATGATTGTTCATTAATTTCTCGCTTCTTCATCAGTGAATTGTGCCATTTCCCCAAAGGAGAAAGAAAAAGAAAGAGAGATAAAACAGCTTTACTCAAAAATAAGTAAACACGTCAAGTGGCGATTCATGTCATTCAATTTCACTAACTCACATCTTTACACATTAACGATTATGGTTTTTATTATTAAAGACTACATTAAATAGAGTTATATTAACATTTAGAGATCATGATTGCTGGAAAAATCTACAATTTTTAAGAATATTTTGACTAATCATATCTTACATTGATCGAATTAGACTTGATTTATTTTATTTATAATGTTGCCAATGATTATATATTAATAAGCTTGAATATATGATCTTCATTTATTATTATAATTCGACAAGTACACATAAACTCGAGTATAGTTTGTATATTAACAGTCTTGGGACATGATAACACTATTAATCTCGCTGATATTGATTTTGCCGGAGACCACCGATAGTAAACCATCTTGAAACTGCTGATTACTATGGTTGTAAATCATATCAAATCTATTAACAAGCTTGAGTATAGTTATTTCTTTGAGTGACGCAATAGCATGACTCGACATAATGTGTATCATCCATTGCTTCAATATCACACGGAAAATTCAATTACGTTGTGCATTAGTAAATATTTAG